TATAAAGATCACATCCGAGGGAAAGAAATATTTGTTTCAACTCTCATATCAAACGCAAACCAATACTTTTATCGTTGAGATTAATAAAGCCATTGAACGTAAGTTTAATCACTTGCGCTGTTTATTGATTTATTGTATTTTTAATGATTTATATTTTGTGCCTATTTTTAGTATTTTTAAAGAAATCCAATTCTGTGTCATTTGATTGGCTGAAGAATTACACGAATTCTATACAAAATGATTTTTTAACAGATTTTGATAATAATAGCAAAGATTTTTGTAAATTTGAAGATAATTTCGCGGATATGCTATCATTCAGTGATAATAAAAATAACGGCAAAAGTAATGAGAAATTACTGAAGAAGACTTCGAATCCGTTTTCGGACACAAACACCAATAGTTTATTCGATGTGAACGATCAGCACTTCACCGAAAACAACATGAAGTCTGTGCTCAACAAGACGACCAATAACGTAGGGAACAGTAGTTTCTATACAGAACCGGAATCGCCTGATGAGTTCAGTACCCTTCCCCGCCACTCGATTGCCTCGGGAGCCACACCACTGGCCGCTCGTGAGAGTGTCATCAGGGCTCAGATGACGATGAGAGAGGAGGACTTCACGTACTCGCAGACGTTTAGGGTGTTTATCGGCACCTGGAATGTGAACGGCCAGAGCGTGACCGAGAAGACACCTCTCGAGCACTATTGGCTCTCTTGTGATCCCAATCCGCCCGATATCTATGCGATCGGTTTCCAAGAACTGGACCTCTCGAAGGAGACGTTTCTGTTTAATGAGACGCCGAAAGAGGAGATGTGGTTCAACGCGTGTCGGAAAGCGTTGCACCCAAAGGCTACTTACGATGTCGTCAAACTGGTCCGACTCATCGGAATGATGTTAATTGTGTTCATTAGGCGAGACTTAAAACAATTCATTAGCAATATATCGGCCGAAATGGTGGGCACCGGACTTATGGGCCGAATGGTATGCATACAAAGGGTTGAAGTGTTTTTAGTTTTTAACAAAAAATGTTTTATGTTTTACATTTTAAAGGGAAACAAAGGCGGAGTCGCCGTTAGGTTTGATTTCCACAACTCGTCGGTATGTTTCGTGAACAGCCATTTGGCGGCTCACGTCGAGGAGTATGAGCGCCGCAATC